TCCTTTCTTATGGAGTGCCTATTCTAGCATTTGACTCATTTTTCTAGTGGGTATTCAGTATTTTGTCTCATTGGAGAGTATGATTGTATCTACACATATTTTAGCTTAATATACTTTACCAGATGTATGTAATTAAAATCTCTTCACCCATTCAGGTTTTGCATGCCCTCAGTCCTTCTGGAGAATTTTGGTAAATACTAACTCCTTACATAGGACTTCCCTCGTGGCTCAGACAGTAAAGTGTCTGTCTACAATGCAGAAGACCTGGGTTCGGTCCCTGGGTCGGGAAGATTCCCTGTAGAAGGAAACAGCAACCCACTCCAGTATTCCTGCCTAGAAAATCCCATGGACAGAAGAGCTTGGTGCAGCCTACTGTCCATGACGGTGGTTTGTGACATTGTACGGGAGGCAGTGATCAAGATCATACCCAAGAAAAAGAAATGCAAAACGGCAAAATGGTTGTCCGAGTGGGCCTTAACAAATAGCTATGAAAAGAAGAGAAGCGAAAGGTAAAGTAGAACAGGAAAGATATATCCATTTGAAGTCAGAGTTCCAAAGAATAGCAAGGAGAGATAAGAAAGCCTTCCTCAGTGATCAATGCAAAGAAATAGAGGAAAACAATAGAATGGGAAAGATTAGAGATCTCTTCAGGAAAATTAGAGATATCAAGGGAACTTTTCATGCAAAGATGGGCACAATAAAGGACAGAAATAGTATGGACCTAACAGAAGCAGAAGATATTAAGAAGTGGCAAGAATACACAGAACTATACAAAAAAGGTCTTCATGACCCAGATAATCACGATGCTGTGATCACTCACATACAGCCAGACATCCTGGAATGTGAAGTCAAGTGGGCCTTAGGAAACATTACTACAAACAAAGCTAATGGTGATGAAACTCCAATTGAGCTATTTCAAATCCTAAAAGATGATGCTGTGAAAGCGCAGCACTCAATATGCCAGCAAATTTGAAAAACTCAACAGTGGCCACAGGACTGGAAAATGTCAGTTTTCACTCCAATCCCAGAGAAAGGCAACGCCAAAGAATGCTCAAACTACTGCACAATTGTGCTCACCTCACACACTACTAAAGTAATGCTCAGAATTCTCCAAGCCAGGCTTCAACAGTACTTGAACCATGAACTTTCAAATGTTCAAGCTGGATTTAGAAAAGGCAGAGGAACCAGAGATCAAATTGCCAACATATGTTGGATCATCGAAGAAGCAAGAGAGTTCCAGAAAAACATCTACTTCTGATGCTGAAACTCCAATACTTTGGCCACCTGATGGGAAGAACTGACTCATTTGAAAAGACCCTGATGCTAGGAAAGATTGAAGGCAGGAGACAACAGAGGATGAGATGGTTGGATGGCATCACCGAATCAACGGATATAAGTTTGAGTAAGCTCCAAGAGTTCATGATGGACAGGCGTACTGCAGTCCATGGGGTCGCAAAGAGTCAGACACAAATGAGCGACGGAAGTGAGTTGAATTGAACTCCTTATATAACACAATATGATCCAAGTTATTAATATAATTTCCCCTTATTTGTTTCAATATTGTCACCTTATTTATTTAACTTATATGCAGAGTACATCATGCGAAATGCTGGGCTGGATGAAGCACAAGCTGGAATCAAAATTGCCAGAAGAAATATCAATAACATCAGATATGCAGATAACACCACCCTTATGGCAGAAAGTGAAGAGGAACCGAAGAGTTTTGTGATGAAAGTGAAAGAAGAAAGTAAAAAAGCTGGCTTACACAGTCATCAAGACAGTATGGTACTGGCACAAAGACAGAAATATAGATCAATGGAACAGAATAGAAAGCCCAGAGATAAACCCACGAACCTATGGACACGTTATCTTCAACAAAGGAGGAAAGGATATACAATGGAAAAAAGACAATCTCTTTAACAAGTGGTGCTGGGAAAACTGGTCAACCATTTGTAAAAGAATGAAACTAGAACACTTTCTAACACCATACACAAAAATAAACTCAAAATGGATTAAAGATCTAAATGTAAGACCAGAAACTATAAAACTCCTAGAGGAGAACATAGGCAAAACACTCTCCGACATAAATCACAGCAGGATCCTCTATGACCCACCTCCCAGAATATTGGAAATAAAAGCAAAAATAAACAAATGGGACCTAATGAAGCTTAAAAGCTTTTGCACAACAAAGGAAACTATAAGCAAGGTGAAAAGACAGCCCTCAGATTGGGAGAAAATAATAGCAAATGAAGCAACAGACAAAGGATTAATCTCAAAAATATACAAGCAACTCCTGCAGCTCAATTCCAGAAAAATAAATGACCCAACCAAAAAATGGGCCAAAGAACTAAACAGACATTTCTCCAAAGAAGACATACAGATGGCTAACAAACACATGAAAAGATGCTCAACATCATTTATTATCAGAGAAATGCAAATCAAAACCACAATGAGGTACCATTACATGCCAGTCAGGATGGCTGCTATCCAAAAGTCTACAAGCAATAAATGCTGGAGAGGGTGTGGAGAAAAGGGAACCCTCTTACACTGTTGGTGGGATTGCAAATTAGTACAGCCGCTATGGAGAACAGTGTGGAGATTTCTTAAAAAACTGGAAATAGAACTGCCATATGACCCAGCAATTCCACTTCTGGGCATACACAGGTAACACCCTGAATTTTCTGAGCATTTTCATTTTGCACTTCTGCACAGTGCAAGAAACAAACTGTGTACAAATTAAATAAATTGTAGAAATGTAGGGGAGGAAAATTTGCCACCCCCAAATGTCTCTTTCCATGTGGGCAAGCTGAAAACAATCGAGCCTAAAAGACTCAGGAAAGTCTTTCTTTTTACTTCCATCTAAGCCTTTGACTGTGTGGATCACAATAAACTGTGGAAAATTCTTAAAGAGATGGGAATACCAGACCACCTGACCTGCCTCCTGAGAAACCTATATGCAGGTCAGGAAGCAACAGTTAGAACTGGACATGGAACAACAGACTGGTTCCAAATAGGAAAAGGAGTACATCAAGGCTGTATATTGTCACCCTGCTTATTTAACTTATATGCAGAGTACATCATGAGAAACACTGGGCTGGAAAAAGCACAAGCTGGAATCAAGATTGCCGGGAGAAATATCAATAACCTCAGATATGCAGATGACACGACCCTTATGGCAGAAAGTGAAGAGGAACTACAAAGCCTCTTGATGAAAGTGCAAGAGGAGAGTGAAAAAGTTGGCTTAAAATTTAACATTAAGAAAACTAAGATCATGGCATCTGATCCCATCACTTCATGGGAAATAGATGGGGAAACAGTGGAAACAGTGTCAGACTTTATTTTTTGGGGCTCCAAAATCATTGCAGATGGTGATTGCAGCCATGAAATTAAAAGATGCTTACTCCTTGGAAGGAAAATTATGACCAACCTAGATGGCATATTAAAAAGCAGAGATATTACTTTGCCAACAAAGGTCCGTCTGGTCAAGGCTATGGTTTTTCCAGTGGTCATGTATGGATGTGAGAGTTGGACTGTGAAGAAAGCTGAGCGCCGAAGAATTGATGCTTTTGAACTGTGGTGTTGGAGAAGACTCTTGAGAGTCCGTTGGACTGCAAGGAGATCCAACCAGTCCATCCTAAAGGAGATCAGTCCTGGGTGTTCATTGGAAGGACTGATGCTGAAGCTGAAACTCCAATACTTTGGCCACCTGATGCGAAGAGTTGACTCATTGGAGAAGACCCTGATGCTGGGAGGGATTGGGGGCAGGAGGAGAAGGGGCCGACAGAGGATGATATGGTTGGCTGGCATCACCGATTCAATGGACGTGGGTTTGAGTAAACTCCAGGAGTTGGTGATGGACAGGGAGGCCTGGTGTGCTGTGATTCATGGGGTCGCAAAAAGTTGGACATGACTGAGAGCTGAAATGAACTGAACTGAACTGAAGCTGCCTGAAATATTTTGGAAAAGGGCCTTTTCTAGGAATAGAGCTATTATGAGAGGTATCTGCTAAGACTATAAGTTAGCTGTGTGGAGGAAACTCAGGCAGGGACTATAGATTAAAGTCTATTCTGTGTCCCATAGTTTCTGCCTGGCCCAGCAAATGTATTTTTACCAAACATTTGCTTTTTTCAGCTCCATTTGAATTGTCTTCCTCCCTTTTGAATTCCAAAATTTCTACTCCCAACATCTTTTGTCTTGAGCTGAAGATGGTATTTAAGGTGAAGGTTTCAGCCATTTTAGTTAGTTACTTAGTGCTCCTGGGTCTCTCCCATGTATATATGTTATTAAACTTTTGTTTGATTTCCTCCTGCTCTATCTGGCATCAAGTTAATTCTTAGACCAGTCAGAAGCACTTAGAAAGGTAGAGGAAAATTTCTTCCTCCCCAACAGAAACACGCTTAGGTCAAAATTTTAAAGTCATTTCTGATTAATTTTAAAGTCATTTAAAGTTAAAACTAGAACTTTTCCTATGGTGACATAGACATATTAATCCTTTATTTTTCTTGGTGGTGTTGGTTTATCTGTGACGTCATGTCTGACTATTGTGACCTCATCGAGTGTAGCCCACCAGGTTCCTCTGTCCATGGGATTTCCCAGGCAAGAATGCTGGAGTGGATTGTCATTTCCTTCTCCAGGGGATCATCCCCACCCAGGAATCAACCCAGGTCTCCTGCATGGTGGGTGGACTTTTGCCTTACCGGCAGACTACTGTATTGCGTGCCAGATGCTTTACTGACTGAACTGTAGGGGAAGACTTTTTTTCTTGACTAACTCATAAATCTTTTACCACAAACAACAGGGCCCAAGCTCAACATCTTCATATAGGCTCACCTGAAAATACAGAAATGCAATAGCATTATATATATATATATTTTTTTTTTAAAAAGCCATAACTGCAATGACTTTATTCCAATGCCAACTGGGAGGGGTTTGCTCTCAAACTGATGCAAGATTTTAGAGGTAGAAGTTTTGTAAGTTTTTTTAAGGTCATTATCACTCACTTAAGGAAGACTTCTTCCATGGTAGTGATTGAAGCACCAAAGTTGGCAATGCCCAGCTCTTCTTTTTTCATTTCCAGATCATTAAACAGAGCTTCAAACCTGGAAAGAGAGAAGGAAGAGGAAAGGAGAATACTAGTACAAGTCTAGAAAATACTAGCACAGCTCCTATTAAATGGAATCAGGAAAAAAAAATATGAGCACTTACTTTTTTCCCAATTAATATATAACTTTATGTCCAATTGTATTCTTCCCTATTTTTAAGAAAATTTTTAATGTGGTAAAATGTATAAAACATTAAATTTACCATTTCACCATTTTAAGTGTTAAATTCATTTAAGTTTAAATCCAAGCAGCATTAAATACACTCACAATGTTGCACAATCATCACCACCATGCATTTCCAGAACTATTTTATAATCCTAAAATACACCCCTTCTTCCATTTTCTCAACTTCACTTTATTTTCTGTTTCTATTAATTTGCCTATTTTATGTGCCTCACATAAGTTAGAATCATACACTGTTTGTCTTTCTGTGTCTGGCTTATTTCACTTAGCATCATTTTTTTCTAGGTTCATCCATGTTGTAGCATGTATGAGAATTTAATTTCTTTTTAAGGCTGAATAATTGTTATATGAAGATATAACTTCATATGCTGCTTATCCATTCATTCATAAGTGGGCATTTGTGTTGTTTCTACTTTTTGGATTTTGTGAATAATGATGTGAACATTGGTGTACAAACGTCTGCTTGAGTTCCTGTTTTCAAATATTTTGGGTATACTCTAGAAATGGAATTGCTGTGATCACATGGTGAGTCTATGTTTAACTTTTTGAGGAACTAGTATACTGTTTTCCATACCAGACATACCATTTTATATACCTAATAGCAACACACGAGTTTTCAATTTTCCACATTGCTTCCAATATTTATTTATTTTTGTTTGTTTTTTATTTGCCTTTCCCTAACTAAAGGAGATCAGTCCTGGGTGTTCATTGGAAGGACTGATGCTGAAGCTGAAACTCCAATTCTTTGGTCACCTCATGTGAAGAGTTGACTCATTGGAAAAGACCCTGATGCTGGGAGGGATTGGGAGCAGGAGGAGAAGGGGACGACAGAGGATGAAATGGCTGGATGGCATCACCGACTCGATGGACAAGAGTTTGAGTAATCTCCAGGAATTGGTAATGGACAGGGAGGCCTGGTGTGCTGTGATTCATGGGGTCGCAAAGAGTCAGACACGACTGAGCGACTGAACTGAAGTGAACTGAACTGAATGAGTAGTTATGTCAAGCATCTTTTCATGTGCTTATTGGCAAATTGTACATTTCCCTTGGATAAATGTTTATTCAAATCTTTTGCCCATTTTAAAATTAGGATATTAGAGCTTTCTGTTTTTAGATGTGATTTCAATATTGTTTCGTTCCACAATAATTTCTGGTTGGCCATGGGAAAGATACTTTGTAGCTCTTTATTCTGTAATGCTTATTGTGAAACAAATGGAAATAACAAAGAGATATTTACTTAACCAAATTTCTCCCCACTATAACTTGATCTTTAATATAAATTCTTTTGTCCTTTTAAAAAATAATCAACGTATTTTCTATAAGTGTTAAGGACTATAGCTAGTTAATAAAAGTTAATTTATTCCCATGTGGTTCCTGCATCAAATGGGAAAAGAGTTCAAATTACAGGAGGTGTAAGTCACTGAATGACAAAAAATGTAGTTACTGAAGTACAAACTGCATATCAAGAGAGAAAGATTTAATCAAATAGGTAGGTGAATTGTATGGCAGCTTTGCTACTTGTGTAGTTATATCAAGGATCCTAAAGAACAGTATTACCAAGGAAGAATGAACACTGTTTTAGGTTCAAAGACTTTCCTGGTGGCTCAGATGGTAGAGCGTCTGCTTACAATGCGGGAGACCCGGGTTCAATCCCTGGGTTGGGAAGATCTCCTGGAGAAGGAAATGGCAACCCACTCCAGTATTCTTGCCTGAAAAATCCCATGGGCGGAGGCAGCTGGTAGGCTACAGTCCATGCGGTCGCAAAGAGTCAGACACCACTTCACTTTCACTTTCTTTAGGTTCAAAAGATCTTCAGAAACCCATAGACTTCTTAAACACTCTCATTCCCAGTGAGGGACTATCAAGAATATAAATGATCAGCCTTGGAGGTGGTGGACTAAACACTCTCCATCTGCTAAATTTCCTCTGTATTTTAGTTAAATTCCATTTCCGTCTAACTTTATCCAGCTTGGATATTGGTTCTATTCTCGCCTTTCAGTTCATTCTGACCCTGCTTCCTATGACAATTTGTCATGTGACTCCTTGTCATTTTTATTCTTTTCCTACTATAGTGACCTATTCTGTGAATTACACAGGTATTGACATCTAATTCTGGTAGTTTTTTCTCTCTCTTTCATTAGTTGGTCTATAAATATCCTGTTAAAAAAAACTTCATTGTGAACAAACATAGTCTTTCCTAACTTCATGATACATATTTTAGGCTATGTTAGATAAACTCACTGCCCATGGCCCAGAAACCCGCATCATATATATTAATATTAATCTGTGTGACTAGTTGTTCATTTCCCAGTAGCTAGCCAAATTAATTATAGAGGAGAGACACACAGATGGGAAATCCCAGGCAGAATTATCATCAGTGTGTCTCTCCTCTATAATTAATTTGGCTAACTACTGAGATCAAATTCCTAGTTTTCTCTGTGTTATTGTCACCCTTGCAAAAGCTGCTTTTTTTCATCACCTTATATTTCCCTAGACTTTATTCACCACACATAAAATTTATACACCATAAGGACCATACCATTAGTTATCCTTTATTAACCAGGAAGTTATAAATACTAGGTTGTAAACCTTCCTCCCACTCTGCCACCCGCAAAAGAAAAATGGAAAGAAAAATATTAATGTCTTGAATAAACTTGAACTTACAAGGCAATCTTTTGTACAGTGAGAGAAATCTTCAGCTGTGAAATCAACTGTGGTTAGAAAATGACAGCTATAAACTGGATACTTGGTTTGTTAGTAAAATACTACTCATGAAGCTTTTGTTGTTGTGTAGACGCTAAGTACTGTCTGACTCTTTGCAACTCCATGAACTGTAGCCTGATTCACTAAACTTACTAAACCCTAAAAATTAAAATGATTTCTGGTCACCCAAACCATTCATCTAGGACTCTCTGAAACAATACCTGTGTGCATGCTTTTTGGGTAGGATAAATGATAATTCAGCTCCAAGATAGCTCTCCAAAATGGCATCTGGAATATGAGACTGAATAATTGCACAGATCTTTTCAAGATCACAATATGGTTCCTTCTCCATGAATATATGATATCCAGCACCTGAGAGAAACCATTTAGAAGACCAAATGAAGCAGTTTTATACTTTTCCATCTCCTTTTAAGAGCAAATTTTGCTCTCCATGATCCAGTTACCTAGGTCCACAAGGAAGAAGACATGATATGTCACAGACATTCTGCTAGGACTCTGAAGAGCCTCACACCTAAAACTTCTAAATGTTATTCTAAGAACTAAGACACTGAATAAACAGCAACTTCCTCTGTAATTTCAATCACTTTCTCAGTGAATAATAATAATCTAGTGTACACAACCAGATATAGTAGATACATGAAGAAAGGCCCCTGTTATGTGGCTACTTAGTTTTGAAACTGTTATCTTGATAAATAATCTTTTATTATCACTGGCTGTCCATCATGTATTAAGCACTAATCTTGAACCTGGGGATAGAGCAGTGAAAAAGCAGGTAAAAATTCCTGCCTTCATAAGAGCTACTTTCTAGTCGAAGGAGACAGGTAATTATTAAGAGGATTAAGTTGAAAGATATACTGTATTATAAAAAATAAAGCAGAGAGGAAGATATGAAACATTGAAGGAATGTTGTTAAAATTGTAGACAGAGATCCATGGAAAGCCTGAGAAGACCTTAAAAAATGAGAGAACTATTATTCTTAATTAGTGCATTGTCTATATAGAAAAACTATTTTTTGGAATTTGAGGAAAATACCATCACTTTTGTATGTATGCATTTCATGATACAAATGAACTTACTTACAAAACAGAGACTCACAGACTTAGAGAATGAACCTATGATTGCTAAGGGGAAGGGATAGTTAGGGAGTTTGGGATGGATATGTACTCGCTGCTATATTTAAAATGGATAACCAACAAGGACCTACTGTTTAACACATGGAACTCTGTTCAATGGGAAAGGAGTTTGGGGAGAATGGATACATGTATGGCTGAGTACCTTCTCTGTTCACCTGAAACCATCACAACATAGTTAATCAACTATGAGTGAGTGAGTGAAGTCGCTCAGTCGTGTCTGACTCTTTGCGACTCCATGGACTGTAGCCTACCAGGCTCCTCCCTCCATGGGATTCTCCAGGTAAGAATACTGGAGTGGGTTGCCATTCCTTCTCCAATTATACCCCAATACAAAACAACAAGTTAAATAAAACAGATGAAAGGTTGCATTTAGAATAAAAAAAATAAATGTATGCATTTCAAATGGTCATTGTATTTGCATTTATATTTCTTATTAAGATTTTAAAAAAGAATAACACTTTTCAGCATAGATCTCTTAGCTGAAATCTGACTTATTTATCTAGCTTTTAGTAGGAAAGACACTATTTCATTTTACAAATGAGGCAACTTCAGAGAATGAAGGGACTTATCCATTATTTACTAGCTTTAGAAACCAAAACTATTACAAAAATAATACTTAAATAATATTATTTTTCACTTCTCAGGAATCATGACACAATAAATTTCTCAACTGTCTTGTCCTCTTAGGACCTGAATCAACAGAAAGTGTCTTCTTTTGAAGAGATGCAAGGTAATTAGAGCTGAATGCTGATTTTTGATGGAATTTCCTATTCTGTCAAAGAACTGAACACAAATTCTAGGCTTTTGAGTAAAATGTAAGTTCAGTTTAAGTTTAATTAAGGCTTAGCAACTATAAGAAGGGGCTTCCCTGGTAGCTCAGTTGGTAAAGAATCTGCCTGCAATGCAGTATTCCCTGGTTCAATTCCTGGGTCAGGAAGATTTTCTGGAGAAGGGATTGGCTACCCACTCCAGTATTCTTGGGCTTCCCTTGTGACTCAGCTGGTAAAGAATCCACCTGCAATGCAGGAGACCTGTGGGAGACCTGGGTTTGATCCCTGGATTGAGAAGATCCCCTGGAGAAGGGATAGGTTAACCACTCCAGTATTCTAGCTTGGAGAATTCCATGGACTGTATAGTCCACGGGGTTGCAAAGAGTCAGACACAACTGAATGACTCTCACTTCATTTCACTTCACTAATTATAAGAAGGGACCTGAATGTCTCAAAGTATTATACCTTTAAAATATCTAGTTATATACTATGTGTTATTTTACAATAATAATATAGTACAATTAGTGAATGCTATTAGAAAGCATTATAAATTATCAAAAGCATACTGTTTAAATCATGTGGATCTTAACTCAGGCATCCCCAATTCAAATGGCATAAATCTAATATTAGATAGCTTCCCTCCCCCTATTTGTGATAAAGATCCCTAGTGTTATTTGTTCAGTTGTGTCTGTCTCTTTGTGACCCCATAAACTGTATCCTGCCAGGGTCCTCTATCCATGGAATTCTCCAGGCAAGAATACTGGAGTGGATTGCCATTTCCTTCTCCGGGGGAATCTTCCCGACCCAGGGACTGAACCTGGGTGTCCTGCATTGGCAGGTAGATTCTTTACCATCTAAGTTACCAGGGAAGCCCCTAGGTATAGAAATCCCTATAGAACTCAAACCCATAATGTGATCGTAAACTTTGAACTAAATAGATATATAACTATGACTTATCTGGGCCACAGTTTTTTATTCTATAAAATGAAGTTGTTGTTTTGAGTATTAAATATGCTGCATAAAGTGGATACCATAATAACCAGTGTAGAAGAAATAGTTAAGGTTAGTTAAAATGAATTAAAATAGTGAATAAATGAAGAAGGAATTCATCCTTAATTACTTTCATTTACATTTATACCCTACAATTTTGAATTCCTAGGACTGTAATTTTAGCCTTCATTATCAATTTTATCTCCTAAAAAAGTTTTATCAAAGTCAAGGACTGTATTATTACACTGACATGATTCTTTCATTCTACACTACATCCAGAGTTATCTTGTCACACTGGGGATTTGATACCGGTTTGGCAAATGAGAAACTAGGCTCATAAACAATTGATTGCTCTAGTTTCTCCCCTGAACCAATCACGCAATAAAATAAATACATCTGAGTGCACAACTGCATTCCAAAGACAAAGAAAACTGTTAGTACATGCAAAATGGGAGAAATAAGTACGGCCTTTATAGGTTGATAAAAGCATTTCCTGAGTCTAAAGCTATGTATCTGAGGGAAAAGTAAGAATGTATAAGGAATATGTAGATTGTAAAGGGCCTTAAAAACTAACTAGAATAGTTGCCACCTAATTAATAAGCAGAGGAAGTCATTGAAGTTTTTGGTATTTAGAAAAAATATCATTGAAATCTCATTAGAGAAATATTTTTAAGCAATCAATATCCTAAGAATAATCAAAGGGAGAGAGACCGTATGTTTTTTTCAGGAAGATTGAAGAGCCACAGCACTGCAGGGTCCCCTTGACCATGATGGCAATTCGGTCACCCAGGATGTCAGCTTCATCCATGTAGTGAGTGGTCAGTAAGATTGTACGATCATGTTTAAACTGCTGAAGGACGTCCCAGGTGGCTCTCCTTGAGACTGGGTCCATTCCAGATGATGGTTCATCAAGTATCACTACCTAAAAGCCAGAAGAACAATTTCACAACCATTGAAAATTGATGCTATAGTACACGTCGGATAATTTACTGTTTGAGGGGAACACTTTTAAGTGAAGACTGAGAATCTAGACTAAAAACAGTAGTAAAAGCAATCCCAAACTAAACAATTGAGCCAATACTGCCAATTTCCTCTGATCATTATTGCCAATGTTCCCTTAAGATTCATATCAATTCTCAGGTTTTTGTCAGCTTTCTAGACTGGTTGTCAGAAATCCAGTTTTAGTGTCCCCTCTCCCTGCCCTCCTCCATTCTCTCTTCCTTAATACCTTGGAGCCCCCTAAAAGTGCTATAATGATGGAGAGTTTGCGCTTCATTCCTCCACTCAGAGACTCTGAAAATGTATCACGCTTTTCTAGCATGTCAAAAGCAGACAGCATACGGTTAATTTCATTAGGAGACATCTTTTGATGTATACTTTTTACCTAGAAAGAGGAGCCAGAATTTACACTATGCATTTAGCCTTATCCTTAGAAATTTATTAGATCTTAAGTTTTCTTATATATCTATACAGATAAATAAAGTTTCTGGTAACTATATCTTTAAAACATTTTATACTACCTCTATTCTGACAATAGCTATATAGTGTCTTCTTCCCATTGCCTCCCTTTATGTCTAAAGTAGAGCTCCTAAATTTAAAAAAATGTTTTTTTCGTAATTAATAGACACACCTGAAGCTCATGAACAGAGCGAAAAAAGAAACACATCTGTAGCTTCCAGATATGATGGAGTAAGCACACACACCCCTTATCTCCTACTGAACTCAATTATTAAACCTGTAAAACTACTAGAAGGTAAACAGCAGCATTTGGAACAGGAAGAACACCATAATTTAAAGTGCCACTGAATTTTAAATGGTTGAGTTTACCATTTTCACTTATGTATCCCATAGTCTGAACTGAAAAGCAATCCAAAGCATTCCTCTGAGCACTGCTGAGCAGACAGAATAAGATTAAGGAAAAACTTTCCAGTTTTGCCTTGAAGAGTGGAAAAGGGAAAACCCCTAAAGCTCTGAGAAAGTGTAGAAGAGGCAATCCTAGTTTTTCCTCTGAGGAGGAGAAACTTCTCAATTCAATGGATTCATGCTTCAGAAAAGACATAACCAAACTTAATTGCTTTTTACCACTCTGTCTTCCTGCCATTTGGTTGTGGCTCAGTCACGGAAGTGGGAGATTTCTGGCAGGAGGACTAAAAATTGGAATCCTAGGGAACCAGAATGCTTGGGAGATAATAACAGAGAGGAGCAAGAAAGTGATACCATAAAGTTGTTCATGAACTCTTGTGTTTATCCCATTGTTTGCACATATGGATCTCATTAGTACGTGCATAGGTGAAGTCTAAGTCGCTTCAGTCATGTTTGACTCTTTGTGACACTATGGATTGTAGCCTGCCACGTTTGTCTGTCCAAGGGATTCTCGAGGCAAGAATTCTGGTTGCCGTGCCATCTCCAGAGAATCTTCCTGACCTAGGATTCAACCTGCATCTCTTTATGTCTCCTGCATTGGCAGGCAGGTTCTTTACCATGCTAATGAGTAAATTCATAACCAGGTGTGAGCTATGTATATGATAACATATACACAGAGAGACTGGAATAGTACTGCGAAGACTTTACACCTGACATTGGACCCGCAACCCACAGAGAAGATATAAATAAGATGGAGACTCTCATGAAGCATTGTTGAAAATATCAAGGATAAAAATAAAAACTAACTGGCACACAAAGAATCACAAAAGTCTCAACTCATACAGGAAAATATAGTCAACAGACATTAGTGATTAGGTGGCACAGATGTCGGGATTAACATAGAAAGTAGCATCAGAGAGAGCAGCTGGGAGCCGACCTGCCTGCCAGTCATGCTGTGATGGCTTCCTGGCTTTGCTGTCTTTGCTGAGGTCCCTGCTGCTCGACTCCGGCTCCAAATTTAACCTAAAGTAGGTTAAGATGGTGAAACAGAAGGATCCTAAGCTCACCTCCTCTCATGAGCGCACCAAAATCACAACAATCTGCAGAAGAATCATTGCTGAAAAAGTCTGAAACCTACCAAAAAAGGTCTTTTACAACTAAAGACATAAAGATGGAAACACAGTGAGACAGGTATGAGGGAAGGCCTTGCAACATAATCAAACCCCATATCCGTCAGTGAACAACCCAAAGGCTGGAGAAAATTGTATCATAGAGGTTCTTCCACAGAAGTGAGAGTTCAGAACCCCATGTCAAGCCCCCCAGCCAGGGGATCTGGCACAGGGAAGAGGAGCTCCCAGAGCAGTAGACTTTGAAGGCTGGCAGGCCTTGACTGCAAGAGCTCCACAGGATAGAGGGAAAAGAGACTTTACTCTTAAAGGGCATACAAAAAACTCACATGCACCAGGAACAAGGACAAAAGCTGTAATTTCATAAGAGCTTGGGCCACAACTACCTGCTAGTTTTGCAAGGTCTTCTGAGGAAGCAGGGGTTGGACATGGCTCACTCTGGGGACACAGACACTGGTTATGGACATATAGGGGACAGTATTCTTCTGCATGAATTCTCTTGGAGGCTGACATCTTGCTTGGGTCATTAGCACCAAGACTGGGCCCCACCCAAGAGTCAGTAGGCTCCAGTGCTAAAATGCCTCAGCTAAAATGCCTCAGTCTAAACAACTAAGTCGTTGGGGCTATATTCCCATTCATCAGCCGATGGGCTGCCTAAAGACTCTCTAAGCATACAGACAACTATAAACAAGAACTTGGGCAGCTCTGCCCAGCAGAGGGCCAAGACTCAGCTCCACCCACCAGTGGGCAGGCAAGAGCCCCTCCCACCAGGAAGTTTGCAGGAGCCTCTGGACCAGTCTCACCTACCAGGAGGCAGATATCAGAAGCAAGAAAATTATGGTCTTGAAGTCTACAAAATGAATCTGTGAATCCTGGCCAGGCACTACCCTTGGAACAGCTGGCCCCTGGCCCCTGAAAAGTGCAGTGCTGGGACAGAAGGCCAGTAAGGTTGAGAAACATAACTAATCTTTCACATACATAAACATACAAATATCAATTTTGACAAAATTATGTGAAAGAGGAATATGTTTCAGATTAGGAACAATACAAAAACTCAGAAGAAAAACTAAGTGACATGGATATAGGCAATCTACCTGGGAAAGAGTTCAGCTAATTGATTATAAAGATGATCCAAGAACTCAGGTGAAGAATGTATGCACACAGTGAGAAATCAGTTTAGAAAATATAAAGAACAATGAAATAGAATTGAAGAATACAATAACTGAAATGAAAAGTACACTAGAAGGAATCAGTAGTAGACTAAATGAGGAAGAATGGATAACTGAGCCGGAAGACAGAGTAGTGGAAATCACTATGGCTGAACAGAAAAAGAAAAAAAAAGTGAAAAGAAATGAAGACAGTTTAAGAGACCTCTGGGACAACATCAAGAGTGATCATATTCATATTATAGGGGTCCCAGAAGGAGAAGAGAGAGACAAAGGCCCTGAGAAAATATCTGAAGAAGTAATAGCTGAAACGTTGCCCAACTGGGCAAGGAAACAGTCACCCAACTTCAAAAAGACCAGAGAGTCCCATACAGGTTTAACCTGCAGAGGAACACCCCAAGACATATAGTAAGCAAACTGACAAGAGCAGAAAATAAAGAGAGAATATTAAAAGAAACAAGAGAAAGAAACAAATAACATACAAGGGAACTCCCATAAAGCTATCAACTGATTTTTTAGCATAAACTCTGCAGGCTAGAAGGGAGTGGCTTGACATACTCAAAGTGAAAAACCTACAATCTAGAATATTCTACCCAGGAAGACTCTCATTCAGATTTGATGGTGAAATCAAATGCTTTACAGACAAGCAAAAGCTAAAACAATTTAGCACCACTAAATCAACTTTACAAGAAACACTAAAGAATATTCTCTAGGCAGAAAAGAAGAGGCCACAACTAGAAACAAGAAAATTATGAATGGAAAGCTCACTGGTAAAGGCAAACATACACTAAAAGTAGGAAATCATCCATACACAAAGCTAACAGGAAGGCTAAAAGGCAAACGTAGTAAAATCATTTATATCCACAATAAGCAGTTAAGGGATACACAAAACAGTTAGACACAAAATAGAATATCAAAAACAGTAATCATGAGGCGACAAGAGTACAAATGTAGGGTATCTCAAATGCACTTGGAAATGAAGAGAGCAGACACCTACAACAAGTGTATATATATATATATATATAATATGTATATATATGTATATATAATATGTATACACACACACGCACACACACACATACATATATATGAAATTAAATGAAAGTGAAAGTGGTTCAACCGTGTCTGACTCTTTGTGATCCCATGGACTACAGTCCATGGAATTCTCCAGGCCAGAATACTGGAGTGGGTAGCCTTTCCGTTCGCCAGGGGATCTTCCCAACCCAGGGATTGAACCCAGGTCTCCCACATTGCAGGCAGATTATTTACCAACTGAGCCACAAGAAAAGATGTGCGTACATATACACACATCTATACACACATCTATACAAAAACCTCATGGTAAAAACAGAACAAAAATCTGTAATAGATACACACACAAAAGAGTAAAAGGAATCCAAACATACACTATAGATAGTCATCAAATCACAAGAGAAGAGAACAAAAGAAGGGGAGAAAAGAACAAGAAAAGCAAATTCAAAACAATTAACAAAATGGCAGTAGGAACACACATAGCAATAATTAGCTTAAATGTGAACAGACTAAATACTCCAAACAAAACACATAAGTGGCTTAATGGATACAAAAACAGGAAACTCACTTCAGATCTAGAGACACATACGGACTAAAAGTGAGGGGATGGACACATGTCAAAAATGGGGTAGGGAAGGAGTGGTAGGCCTAGGCCCCCCCAGGTGTTCTTTGGGGGTCCACCTCAGTATGGTGATGGGTAGAGGGGATAACTGAATTCTAACCTTTATAAATAGGGAGACCCCAACCTCTAGACAGACTTATAATTTTTATTCTGATTAGCCATTTTAAACCAACAAGGAATAAAAAAAAATAACCCTGATCTAAATTAAAAAGAAAAAAATGAGGGAATGGAAAAATGTATTGCATATAAATGGAAATCAAAAGAAAGCTGGAGTATCAATGTTTATTTTGGACAAATAGACTTTAAAATAAAGACTGTCACAAGAGAACAAGAAGGACACTGTATAATGATCAAAGGATCAAGAAAAAGATATGAGAATTTAAAATATATATGCATCTAACATAGCATCGCAACACATAAGGTGCATGTTAACAGATATAAACAGAGAAACTGACAGTAACACAGTTATCTGTAGTAGTAGAAGTGAAAGTCACTCAGTCGTGTCCGACTCTTTGAGACACTGTGAGACTCTTCTGTCCATGGAATTCTCCAGGCCAGAATACTGGATTGGGTA